TTCCCCCTCGCCTACACACATGCACTCACGCCATGAGAACGCTATCACGACTTTACTCATCTGTGACAGGGGCAAGGAAACAACGCAAATAATAACGTGAGATTGACACGTTCATTGGACACCTCGGCATCCAATTTAAAAAATAATTTGAACGAAACAACAACTGCAATCACATCGCCGCTCCTCTTTCCTAAACAAAGTTGTCGTTTAAAATATCGGAACAGTATCTATCTATCTATCTATCTATCTGTCTGTCTGTCTGTCTGTCTGTCTGTCTGTCTGTCTGTCTGTCTGTCTGTCTGTCTGTCTGTCTGTCTTTGCCTTGCTTTTGGTTAAAAAAATACTCATCTATCTTGAGAAGAAGTCGAGATATTTGCGATTGAAGGAGGTGGGGGTCGCCTAGTGCCAGAGGGCAAACGAGCGAGAAAATGGCAGCCAAAGTTTGAGACTCTCTGGGAGCTGGAAATCTACTATTTTTGTGCCTCAGTATCAACCACAGAAACATATTTTTTAAATGGACATAAAAGGTCTTGAGCCCTAAAGTAGCAATTAATTAAAATTAGCCAAACGGGCGGAACAATTACTTTTTCTTTGATTCCATCCTTTTTGAGGAGCGCCCGATTTCACCACGATGCCTTACAATTACATTGTATATTTATATGGGTCTGCTTTGGTCTCAAATACAAGTAGTTAAACGCGTTTGTTTCCCTCTGACGTAGGTATTGGTCAGTGCTCACGTGCCCCCTGGCCTGTTCGTACCGGACTTCATCTACTGGATGTACCCGCAGTACCAACACAGCTTCCACCGCATCATGCTGGACTTCTCCGACGTCATCGCTGGTCAGTATTACGGCCACGATCACACAGACACCTTCAAAATCGTGCAGAATGAGAAAGGTTGGTAGATTCCTTTTTGATACTGTTTTGCTTAATAGTATCCATCCATCCATCCATCCATCCATCCATCCATCCATCCATCCATCCATCCATCCATCCATATATCTATCTAGTCTGTTTTCCCTCCTTTTTTTCACTTTCGTTCTTTCTTTACTCGCTGCTCTTGCACCTTTGCCCAGTAGCTTACCTTTCATCATACCATTACTTGTATGACAACTACAACCAACACTGCACGAATGTCCCTTTCCCGAAACAGGGCAACAGGCTAGCCCTATGTACACGGCCCCCTCAGTGACCCCCTGGAGGTACCGGGCTCCCACCAAATCCGGGGACCCCCACAACCCTGGTGTGAGGCTGGTGGAGTACGACAGGACAACAGGGCTGGGCCTCAACTACATGCAGTACTTCATCAATCTCACGGACAGCAACAGGCAGAACGCGACACACTGGGTCAGTACAGATGTACTGATAATTGATAGCATTTGTATAGCGCGAATTCCCGCTCAACAGAAAGTTATATGCGCTTTACAATCTATATTTTTACCCCAGCAGAACTAATTTCTTTCTGGAACATTCTCAACGTCACAGGAAGCATACAGTGCAAACTGCCTTTTTAAAGGCGCTAAACACTTTCTTTCGCTGTCTATAGCCGACCCATTCACACTTGGGCGAAATGAGAAAAACCTTGTAAAGTGCCTTTCCCAAGGACACAATGCTGGGCCTGGAGCTCGGACCCCTGAACCCGCAATCTCGATTACGAGTGCGGTAGCCTAATCCCTAGACAACCGACGCTATGTACACTTGTCGTCGGTTTATTACTTCAATCGCGTATCAGACAAATTTGGTCAAACACTTTTTATTGGTTTCAGATCATGTTATTCACAACACCTCGCTACCTTTGAGTTACAAACTTCTATAATATGACATTGTTTGCCTGTTTTGAGTTACGAAGACCATAAGGTCAAAAACCAAAATTTTGTATCTGCTCTATCATAATTGTAAGGTTTTTCGGAGTCGTTATCAATATATTATATTCATAGAATTGCATTCCAAAAAGCTTGACGTGTTGTGAAGCGATAACATTTTAAGGTTAAATTTCTGAAAACTTGGTACTGAGCTGATAGAATTTTATTCTGGAGTAGCAGCTTGTTGCAATTGGTAATAGATCTACTATGATAATGCTGGCCAGATATTAAAGTGTAGTAAGTCAAACATTTTGAAAACTGTTTTATTACAGTTTCTTAATCTATGATTATGATATCGGTTGCATAATATACTCAGGAAGTATTTTGTCAAAATCAAGAAACTAAATGATGAAAAAAAGGAAGAAAAAACACCCAAAGTTTAGGTGCAGTTGTTAAAAAAGTGAAACTGTCTTTTCCTCCCTCCATAGAAATCTTGCATTCTGGGCATAGTGCATTTTAACAGTTTACCGACGATAAAAAGAACACTCTATGCCTAATACTGAGCAGGTCTGGTAAGACAAATTACATCTATTCCACTTTTCTGAAAAATCAATGATCACGCATATATACGGATAGGGACGGACATCGACGTTGTGTACCCTATTGTTAATATTTTACGTTCCCATTAACACAATTTAGATCATTAAAATTTAAGGGGATGGGTGTATCCACTGTGCCTATGGGAGCCATCCTTGGTTGAGAGGGATCCAGCGTCCTGGTAGACAGGTGTAGATACTCTATGAAAAAAAATCTCCCATGCCCACTCGTGAATCGAAATCATGTATTCTGCTTGCAACGGCGAAGAGCCGAGCCGCTACCCTGCCCGGGGATGAAGTCCCGACTATCCATGCTCTACAGCATGGTTTATCTACTTTACAACTGTTATTGTACTAGCAGATCATAGAATACTCAGAAATATTCTTGGCTTCCCGGGAAGCATAATAGTGCGAGCAGCCGATTTAGTGCTCAAACATAACAAACTTACGAGATCTTTCACAGTCTATAGCCGGATAACCATTTTCCCCTGAATAAAGTGAGGAAAATTCTTGTGTAGTGCCTGTCCCCCCAACCCCCTCAGCCTCTCTCCACCCCCCAACGTCGGCCCTGACACGATTCGAGCCCACGACCTTTTAGTTAGGAGCCAAACAGCCTAACCACGGTACTAGACCATCGACGCCACTTAATACGACATGGCTGGTCATTTCTCTCCCCAGACTGTTCTGTACAACTTCCAGGACGCATACAAAGTCCCGGACATGAGTGTGACGTCACTGCGGAAAATCTTCCACTCCATGCGTCACAAGGGGAGCGAACCGATGCTCAAATACTGCGACTACCTGATGGTGAGCAACTACACGCAGACGTGCACAGACGAGATGCAAGCTGAGATCTGGTGCGGGGGACAGATTGAGGACATGACGACAGCCAAAAAGTGTATTAAGAAATATAAGTCTGGCGCTGTTGATCTTGAATCGTTAGGTTTAAACAATGTCGTTATGATGAATGGAGGGTAGCAGCCACCGATACTCTTCTCGTCCAGACTGTGATGGTCCTAGCAGGGACACTTTACAAAAACCTTGGTGCAAGCAATATTTTTACTTGATTGAATAAACATATTTTTATTTTTAAAAATCACCTTTGGAACTTCAACATCAATTTATTTTCTCGTCTCATTTCAAACCATCTCATGTTTTCTCTCATTCCATACCGACATATGTGTTGTAGCGGTTAGGTGCCTTGCCATCACACACAGAGGAACCCAAGGTCGATTACCTTATTGGGAGAAGTTTTCTACAAATACATACCGGTCTTAACAATGGAAATGGGCTACGTCTGGATTTCGTTTCAGTTTTATTATGATATGATGAAATGCTGCGACCAAAAGTAGTTACCGTAAGATTTTTTTTATTTTTGGGGAAAGCGTTGGATGTGAATTTAAAAAAAAAAGGGGGGGGGGGCATTTTTATTACCATTTTGATTGCCTCTTGGAATTTTGGTTGTGCAGAATACAGTGTCACTCGAAATAACAGGAGAGCATTTTGACTCCTACCCGTTGGAACATACGCAATCGGATTTTACTTCTGACTTTTTCCAAAGGCAAACAATTGAAACCAAATTGAAAGTAGGCGTGGAAGTTTTTTACTCAGTACTTCTGTCTGTCTACTTAACTGCTGTATCCCACTCAGACCAGGTTGGCCCTGAACTGTCAAGCAAGATCGATGCAGCTCGGCCTTGAATGAGCTTAGATTGTATCGATAGGGACGCAAACCATAATACAACCTTTTTACAATCAAAGCAGAGGAAAGTTCCGAATTATAAAACAACTCGAGATTTCACTGCGCTTGTCATGAATCTGGGATAGATTGGAGGGATCGGGAAGATCATTTAGGAGGTGAACTTTGATCTTGCCTGTTAGGGCCTAGATCTATCCTGGCTGAGAGGGAAGCGACATTCTTGTAATACTTGTAGTAAAAGTTATCCCCACTTGGATATGGAACTCGGGTTTCCTGAATTCGACAGCGAAACGCATAACCGCTACTGCATGGGGGAAGTGTAGTATTAGTAACAAATGTCTAGTCTTGGATAAAGAAAAGCAGTCAAAAGACTGAGATCATCAACAGATTCCATGTTTATCCCATCTCTGCCGTCTCCTGAATAGAAAAGTAAAGGGACATAATAACGTTTCCAACTCCCATTTAAAAAAGTGTCTTTCGCATGTGACGACTTGGCGACTCAAAATGTGGGCCCATAGAGAGGGAACACTCCGGATATGCGTACGAGGTCTAGTAAGTTTTGAAATGGAAAAGGGGGGTCGGGGCGCTAAAGTTTAACGTTACCATCTTAACCTTTTACCCTCTTCTTAGTCTCCTCTCCTCAACTCCTTTCCTGGCCATCATGACCAGCCACGTATCAGCAGTTATGATACTAAACCAAATTATTAATTCTATAAGCATGTTTTAGTAAGTGCTTTACGGCACTTGCAACATAATAAGGTCATATAAGTGCCGAAGATTAGAAGTGTGACAACAAGAGAGTAACAAACACACGAAAAAGGAGGGGAGATAAAGACTATAACTTGTTTGATAGGAAAGAAGAAGAAACCACACCAGAGCACCTGCCAGCCACCCACTCTATAAATATACGATTACAAGAAGCTAACAAAGACAGTAAAGCAGTCTGTTACGTCTATTCTTGAATGACAAATAGAAGTTGATCTGCATCTTAAGAGTAACACGGCAAAACGCTCTATTTAAAAAATTTTTTTTAGTAAGTGTTTTACAGCGCTCGTAACTGCATACGGTCATATGAGCGCGCGGGACACAGTTAACATGTTCAGTTGGTAGGGAATTTTGAATATTGCCCTGGTGGCAGCCGAAGCTTACTCTTATCGATTTTAGACCTCCAAGGGATGTTTAACGTCAGCAACTTGCACACGGGACCTCCGAGATTTTTCGTCCTTGTCCGAGAAGGCTAGGTGAAGATCTTTCTTACCAGAAGATCAGGGGTGTAGCTGCAAGACAGCAGTAAGTAGCCAAGGAGTAGCAGTAGAAAGGCGGCAGAAAAAGTCAGGAGCCCAGAGGAGGGGGCAAATGAGGTGAGGGGATGGGGGCAAAAAGTAGAGACGAAAGCAGACAACAGAACATTGCTAGAGAGCAGGAAAGAAGTTGAAAGGAGACAATTTAAGAGAAGATAATTTTTTTCTGTCGCTACCAGGATTCGAACCCGGTACCTATGAATGAGAGGCGAATACCGTAACTCTAAGTCACGAGACCCCCC